TGTGCATAAAGTACCAGGTACCAAAAATGGGCATCTCTGCTGCTGATGAGCAGAGATGTGCTGGTGTCCCCCTGCGGGTGCCATTTCACTCCCTGACACAGCTAAGGACACTCTTAGCAGAAGGTGGGGAAGCCAGGCCATGCTGGGCCTGGAGACACTCCCTTCTTATGGCCAAACTCATGGGGGGCAGGCACAGCAGCAGTGACTGGGGGCTTCTGTTTGCTGCTACTCTGAGGCCCCCCAGGATAAATGGGCTGGAGGCACCGTGCAGAGGCATACAGGGCCAGGCAGGTACCCCTGCTCCCTTCAGAGCTGCATTTCTTCTGTCTGGGAGCAGCATAATTCCCTACGGCATCCCCAGGCTCAGCTTTTCTCCAAAAGGGCAGGAGGGAAGGAAGGGCCTTTGCCAGGAGACATTTGGTTGCTTGAGGAAGAGAATTTGGGGAACACCAGCCCAGCTAAGCTTCCTGCTGACATGGAGCCATTCTCCTCTCCACAAATACACTAAGTGGCTGCTCTTGTATGGACCTTGTCCTTGCAGTCACTCTCCATGGAAAGACCATGGAGTAGGCTACCCTTGTCTGTCCTCACCTGTTCAGTGTGCCAAGCAGGAAAACTACCCTTTCAGGAGACTAGCTCAGAAAGAGGGCCTGTGGGAACGATTCCTTGCATCATGAAAATGGCATTTGTCAAAAACAAACCCATGGAACTTTGCCTCTGCCAAAGTAAGTGGTGCTCCTGTGGTACAAGGTCACTGTAACTGAAGTCCAAGTCCTCATGTGCCATTTGGTCCTCTGACATTTTTCACCCCTGATTCTACTGGGCTGAGCAAGTCATTGACTTATTAATATTCAGTATCTTGGTAAGCCTTGCAGAATGGCACATATTCTGCTACAAAATGGGCCTCTCTTCAGGTTAATTAAAAATAAATACAAAAAGAAAAACCCACACCCAACAACCGAGGCCATTAGGGAACCCAAGCATAGGAGAACAGACTCAAGCCCACTTCACATGCTTTTCAATCTAATAGTGGTGCTCACTGTTTTATTACTTTGGTTAAACATATACAAACTGAATAGTCAGAAAACAGTTGCATGACACTTATATTCCAAACTATGTTGCTCAAGGACTTCCTCAGAGACAAAATTTGCCTCTAGAGCCAGAATACCACAATCAGCAGACAGGCAAAAACTTGAGATTCACAAAAATGGTTGGGAATATAAATTATCACAATATCTCCACATACATTATTTTTTATGCAACTCTCATTTAAAAATGTTTCTAAAAATAATACATATTAATAAATGATGATTGTACAGTAAAAGTCCCTTTTACAGCAAAATAGTCACTTCTTGTTGTTGCTGCCTACACAATGCAAAGAAAAACATTTACCTCAAAAGAAGAAACCTGGCTTCTTTCAAGGTTTAACTCTGCAGGACTTTACTGAGAAGCAGTTATCACACCAATCCAGACACAAAGGACACAAATATATACCAATTATAATCTTTACATTCTTCACTTATTAGAAAATTTCACTTATTTTGAATTAAAGTATGCCTGGGTGTGTTTGGTGGTTTTTTTTGCCTCACGGAACAAAAAGGAGAACTGCTGAAAAAAAATCCTTCATTTGACCTGGACTTTATTTGATCTTCATGATCTTAATCTCAAAATCTGAGGCTACCTTTCTCTTCTGAGTCATCTGCACTGTCTCTTACACAGTGGGATAGCAGAATGAGTCACCCAGTTTTAGGTTCTTTCTAGCTTTGGTTTCCACAACCCATTTTGTGGTCATACAAGGTTTAAACAGTCTTTATATGGTGCTTTTGCTAGAAATGTATAGCTCTGAAATCTTATTCCCCTTACTGAGACAAAAACAAGCAGCCCTGCTTTTTCTCAGTGGAAGCCACAGAAGATGCTTGCACTGGAGTATGCAGAGGTACAGATCAGGGCTTATGAACATAAATGTCTCAGTAAGAGATGAGCAGTAGGCATTGCATCCCCAGAGGTTCTGCTTTAACCCCATCAACCAATTAGCATGTTTATAATTTGGCAACAGCACTCTGTTCTCGTCAGTAACTTTCATGCCTATTGGCTCATGTTTCCAGGCTTCACATTTCTTATCCCTGAAGGTTTCTCTCCCAGCACGGCTTCTCGCTCTCTATCCAAGGCTCTGGTTAACTGCTGGCAAACTGTATGTCCATGTTGTCTTTTCCACAGGCCTGTCCTCGTTCCAGCTGCATCCAGTGCAGATATGATCAAGGTCCACAGACACTGTGGCTGAGTGAATGGAGTAAGTACAGCTGATCACAGAGCTTTTAGTGGGAATTTGCCCATACCCTGACAGCTTTGAACAAGCACAGACTTGTGAAAAGAGTGCAAACCTCAGTTTGGGCAAAAAGACAATGTAAATCAAGATGTTTTTGACAGTACGCTGAGGTAAATCTGAATTTGGACTTTACACAGATATATTTTGAAACTGTCTGGAAGATAAAAAGGGAAGTATGCCTGTTACTTCAGTTTAGACTTTATTTATGCAAATATGGTTTGCTTAATGTAAGTTCTTGTTTCTACCACTTACTTCAGATAGACATTGAAAGATAAGAACAAAATCTTGAAAGCAGGATTTTTAAGCTTTTGTCAGAATATTCACAAGTTCCAAATATCCCCCTTAGAGCTGCAAATTTCCTAGAAGCTGCAAAACTCTGCTAGTTTTCAAATGGAACATTTGCTACTTACAAATATCTAAATATGCATCAACTCTATTATTAATACATTGTAGCTGGCATCTGGCACTTGATGTGCCAGCAGCAATCACACTCTGGCATAATTTTTTTTAAAATTCATCTTGTCATCTTGTTGCATGTGATGCCTGAGGACTATGATGACAAGAAATGTGAGCATATTATTCCACAGAGGTAAAAAAAGAATGAACTCAGGATACAGAAAATTTAGTGCTGGCAGGTGATGTTTGCCAGAATGTTAAACGTTTTCTTACAGTGACAGTGCACATTTTGCACACAAGAATTGGTCCCAGGGCTACGTCCTTTGTTAGAGCTTTTACTGAACATGTCTAGCACAGAGGTTTCTGGCAGAACCAGTGTGAATTGTAGGATGTGGAGTGGAGTGAAGCTACCGTACAACCTTCTATCCTCACCGTGGGTGCAAAGCCCTGGGCAGGGAGGCAGGCATTAAGCCATGGAAATTGCATCTCCTCATGTGGTCACCAGCCAGGCATGGTTGATTTGAACATTCTCTTCTTGCGTTAGGGAAGGGAAGCTGGGAGTCCTCACCCTGAGCAAACTCCCATTTGTCAGAAGGTAATTCACTTTTCAAATCACATTTTCTACCTTTGAGGTTTCATTGCTTCTATGAAGCATCTGAAATAATTGAAAGTTTGAGAATGTGATTGTACCTAGATGTCCAGTCTATCACTGCCAGCATCACTGGAAAATTTTATTATCTTAATAATTGCTCTAGATCTGCAATAAAAGTATGTGGAATAATTTGGTTCACTTCTAAAAGTTCTTTCTTTAAAGGAATTGAGTGTGTTTTCATTGCCAATAGTTTCTATAATTGCAAAACAACTGGAAGCAAACCTCATAATTAGAAAGGGCTCAAAAGCAATGTAAACAGTCTTGCAGGATATTTAGTTTCAGTTCTGACTTCTCAGCTATTCCCTGGGAAAATCTCAAAGGACACTATAATATTGCCTAATCTCAGTGATTTCTACTGAATCTAGAAAATCTTTTCTTTCAGTAAAATCTCACTTCTTGAAGTCATGGCACTGAATTACCACCAACAGGAGCGTAGCCCTTGAGACTGCATAAAAGAGAATAACAACAAAAGGTGGAGGGACTCCAAAGCAAAGGCAAACTTTAAAAGGCTAACATTATTATGCTGTTGTTTGGTTGGTTTTCAGCCAATCACACAGTGTTTGAGCCTCTCTCATAATTTCCACATCTCTTAAATTGCTGTCAGTGTTGGTTCCTCACAGAAATGAGCCTAGCTGTTCTAGCAGGTTCAATAACCACTTGCTGAGTTCAGTTTAGAATGCACTTTGACTCTAATAATAACAGGTTCGGAACTGCCATCCAAATGGCCATACAGTTTTTATACCACTTTCATGAAGGGGGAAGCAGAATCTACCAGAGTGATGGACAGAAAGCCATGGCAGGATCCTCAAACAGAGCATTGACTGGCACACGTGCCCTTCCTTCCTGGACAGTTGTGAGATCACTTGGTTCCCAAATGACTTAGAAAAGCCTCTGGATCCTTCCCACCTGGCCAGACAGGATCTGCTGGCCCACTGCATCAGCAGGGCACTGTCACAGCCCAATGGCACTATTGCTATCCAGGACCAAACTGCATCTCATCAAGGTATATGCAGCCTTTGCATAACCAGTGCACATGCTGAGCTGTGCAAGTTGGCTGTGCTGACAGAGCAGCTTAAAATAGCCACATTTCCCTGGAGGCAGAGTCTGTGATATGTAGTCTGGGAAATTTAGTATTTCTGTCAAGCTGGTTCATTTCGTGTCTCGTTGCCGCCTGCTTTAATTTCCAAAGCATCCAGCTAAGTGGGTGCTAAGTTATTAAAGCTACAGCTAGGACAATGGTAAAAAAATTTAGATGTTTATTTCAGTGTATGTTCAGTGCCTTCAATTCATACACCCAAATCTTGTCACATTTTTCCAGAATACTTAGGAATCCAGAAAGGACATAGGCAGCAGGTGGGCATTTTGAAGACACCCAAGGGGGTTATGCACCAAACTCTTACTGAGATTATATGAAATATTCGAAAGAACAAAAGACACCTTCTCTTACAGATAGTGATCTCACACTGAAAACTTTCCACAGCATGGCTACAGGAAGGTTAGAACATGGAATAATAAGTGTTATTTAAGAAAAAAAAAAGTGACAACTGAGATACATCAAAATGGAATATGGTGAGACATGGAAACTCAAAGTAATTTTGGTGAACACTACTTTGGGATAAGAGATCTGTTCACATATTATGATATCCAATGTAGTAAAACCAGATTTTAAGAGTTCCTGTAAATGTAATGCCATACTGATTTGGGTTACAATGCAGCATTTAATTTCTCTCCTTTGCTCTCAGCTTCCATCCAGACCAAGAAATATCAAATAAAAACTATCCATAGTAAAATTAATCACTAGCATTTTGTTTGCTAATGTCTTAGTTTGGCTTCTGGATGTCTCGATTATAGAATCAGGTGTATCTTTACACCTGCCACAGATTACATGATTAGTCTTAGGTGCCTCAGTCATTTTCAGTTTTGAGATTAACCAAAATCAAATTCCCAAGCTGCAAATTCACCACATTTAAAAGGAGATGATACAAGAAAATTATTTCAGAATTTTAACATCATGGTCCTGCCTGAATGTATTCTAAGTAAATCATTCAGTCGTTTTTGTTACGTCTTGACAAACTTTTAAACTTAGCAAATTCTTAGAACCAAATCTAACTTTAAGTAGATTTAAGTGTTGACTACTGCAGGGTAGGCAGATGCTTAACCTCGACTCTACCCTGCCGAGTCTTTATGAATCAAGTCTGAAGATTTGATTTGAGAGACTGGTGCTAGAGAAGACCTCGGATTGCTGAAGGCTAAATCTTGACTCTGGCACAAGTTTTGTCTTTACAGGAACTGTGTCTATTGAATTTGACTCGTAATAAGATTCCTAAAATGGGAAAATAACTTCATATAATGCTTAAATGTGAATAGTACAATCATCCCTTAAAGCATTTCCCAGTACCAAAAGTCGAGGTCGTTTCTGCCAGAAATGCGTCTTTAGTATATGTGTATTTCTTGAACTTGATGTTTAGAGAAAAACAGTGTATTTGCAATACCTATCACTTGCTGAAGGCCAACATGAAGTTACGCTTTGGTAGGTAAGTGCAAGTGGCAAAATTTGCAAAACTGACCACTGAGTTGGGATAGTTTTCACCATCCATAAGAAGAAAAGGTTTTTCAGATATGTCTTTGAACAATCATGTACATCTTGGATTAAGACTATTACACACAAGTTATTTGAACTTGTCTACTCAGTATGCAACATCTCATTCAAGACTGTTAGTCAAGGACACCTAGATCTTCACCATAAGCAGAGAACTACTTATAAATAACCTTTTAGCACTGAAATTAATAAATTACAATATATTGTCACAATATCATCAGAAAAATCAAAGCACACACCTCATACACAGAGAGATCACACCAAATCATTGTTAAAGTAAGATACAAATGTTTCGAGTATCACCATATAAGAATTCAAACTTGACATCAGAAAGATAAAATCCTTTTGACATCAATGACATAAGTGGATTATGCTTTCAAAAATATTTTATGCTAAATTTCTGAGTTGGAATAGTAGATGCTGAATTCAGGCTCCTACCATGGTTAATTAGCATAATCCACCTGTAATCCCCATAGTTGTGCTTCTTAGGTAAAATCAGAAATAAATTCCTAATATTAAATTTCTCAAGAAATTGAGACTGCTGAATTCTACTTTTTATCTGAACAATCACAATTGTCATTTTTCTTTTGGTAGAAACACATGGCACAGAAGATAGTTCTATACTGTCAACAGACTGACTCAAAAAATATAAATATATACTGTATTTATATATATGGTATGTATATATACATTATCAACAGTCACATTAGAGAATCCGAACAATTTTATTGAAATTACTTTTAAGAAAGCTTTCTGCTGTGATTTCATGTCTACACAAAGAACTGAGAATTTTCAAGTGTACCATATGAAATGGGGCTTCTTAAACATAAAGAAAACATACTGCTGAAGTATATGTGACTACGCATTTTTTTTAATGTACATGTTTGGTTTTTTTAAGATCTGCAATTTCTACCAGTTATAGCTTACAAGTTACAAAAACTGAAAGAGATCTGGAGTCAGTGTTTCCTTTCAGCAGGCTGTTGCAGGCAGAGTTCACTCACTGAAGAAACTATTGGCAAATTATTCTCAAGATGATAGTTGATGAGATGACTTATGCTGTCAAAGACACGATCTTTTGTACGAACCTTCAAAAAAAGGATGCAAGAATATAGATTAAAGTACTTTCCCCCTTAACTTCACACTAAAATTGCCTAAGAACAAAATGACACAATCATGTTTTAGAGACTGATTCCTTTCCCATCAAAATTGGTAGAAATTTGGCACTTATCCATCTTGGCTTCTGTTTTATCTATTACTCTCTCTATTCTCACCAAACAAGCATTCTGCATGCAACCCCACGGTCCAGTCTACTCTTTCTGATTAGGTCTGCTTGTAAACTTTCTGTACAACATTTTGTTTCACTGTAGATCAGAATTTTAGACCAACTTCTCTTCTTCAACAGACTACCTGCTTCTTTTAGGTGTTTGCACCTTTTTCATCAGAAAGAGCTGTCCCTCTGGACATGTCAGAACCCAGCTTCTCTGTGCACCTCAGCATTTTTGTGCCTTTCTTAACAGAGACCTTCTTCTTCAGGTACTTGGAAATTTCCTTCCCCAAAAGTGACCCAGCCACCATATGTGCTTAGCTTGTGTTTGCCCCATGCTGCACATCCCTGTGGCTTTGGTACTGAAACACTTTAGGGCAGGGAGCGTCACTTTTCTAGCCCACTTACCAGCCCTCTGTTCCAGTGTCTGGTTATTTAACCACACCTTCACAAAACGTTTCCTTCCTACGTTTAAAATGAATTAGGCATGCAGCTTCCACAGGCAGAGCACAGGTCCACTCTGGCAAACATCATGTTGCAGTAAATCTTTGTTTTGGGATGTCTCTACACTGCCTCAAAAAAATGCCTGTGAGCACTGCTCTGAGCAAGGAATGTCACACATTCTCCTTAAACTTTTCTCAGGAAGAGAGAAAAACTTCTGTTAGAACTTTCCAAAGCCAGCTGATGTGTTGGGCACCTCTCTTGAAATACTTCAATCTTCAACATCAAATCCTGGCAAAATTCCTGTAAACTTCAACACAGGATGCCACAGGGTAAAAAAACTTCCTGTAAACTTCCACACAGGGTAAAAAAAAGAAACCAGAAACAAAGAATTTTGATGGCAGATGATGCTATCTGCTCGGTCCACATGTAGTTATGTCACTGAAAGAAACCAATAGGCTCTCCTCGTTCCTGAGGCATACTGCTTTGAAAAGTAACATTCCCTAAATTCAAAGCTACATTTTCAAAATGAAAAGGTGTCTTTAAAAAGGCAGTAACTTTCTTTATCTATATTCTGAGATTTTCTTATCACGAGTAGCCTGCCATCACCAGAGTTCCAGTCCTCATTCTAAATCCAGGAAAAAAAAACCCTGCAGTCCTACATTTTAAGCACCTGAATGAGGGATCTCTTGTTCTTTTTTTATTTTTCTGTTAGCTGGATGAGAGCAGAGTAACTGGACAGTTAACTCTGCTCTGAAAACACACCCTGAAGAGCCGTAACTGTGTAATGTGTGTGAAATGAATTTTCAGGCAGCATTTTTGTGAGTCAGTTTTTAAGAATAACCACACTGAGGCCACACAGAAGAAATGCAAGCTGCTGGCACAGTGCTGCAGCTGGTCACACATTGGCATTTTACTGATGACTCTCCACTCGGACAAGTTGCAAACAGGGCTGCTCAGAGGCCACCTCGGGATCCCACACCTTTCAGAAAAGCTGTTGTTCTGGAATGGTGCCTCCTGGGCAAGGCATTTCAGGGCCATTTGGGCCACGATGGCACATCACAAGCAGGGGTAGATGCAGAGAACAAGCAGGTCCCTGAACAAGGACATCAGCAAATTAGAGCTGCTCTAGAGGCAGTGCAAAAGAAGATGGGAGGGTCTCCAGCCTTCACAGGAGGAAAATGCCCAGGAAGTCATCACTGGACCTGAGTACTCCATGCCAGTCAGCAGTGCAGCAGAGCTCCTGGTGGGACACTATGCCACATAACACAGCAGTACCCTGTAACAGCTATTGGTGGGTTTATGTTAAAGGGAAAATTAGGGGACCTTGTTCCAGGAGCCACAAAACTGCTGGCAAATGTTCAGCAAGGGAGGCTGCCCCCCAAGAGGTGCAGAGCCACTTCCCTGGGCTGGTGTCCCCATCAAGCCCAGGACTGGGTAGCTGGCACCTCGAAAGTGCAAAACTGTTCTTTGTCTGGCCTCATGTGACAAATGGAATGAATAGCAAGAAGTACCATGGGCATTCCTTACTGCAGCAATACAGAGTCTGCAGGACTGGCATAATTCTGCCACAGGTTTCTCAGCTGAAAGAAATGTCAACAGGCCAACTCTCACTTATTTTGGGGCTGGTTATCTAAATTTGTCCTTTACAGAGAAAAAAGAGTTACCCACTTGCAGCTACCAGGAGCCAAGAATAAAATTCAGGACAATGATTTTAATCTCTTAGCAGAGACTAAGCCTCTCCAGAAGCAGGACAAGATAGCTACAGAAAACTGGAGCTCCCTTGACCTCTCCAATCCTGCTGTGGGGAGGGTCCCTTCATCAACTAAGGCAGCCTTTGCACAGCAAAGAGATGGGTCTTGTTTGGGAATCAGGTCCCTAAGGCTCCCTGCAATCTGCAGAAACCGTGGCGTGTGTCTTCTGCTAGGCATCAGGGAGGGAATCAGAGATGTGATGGCATACTAGAGATACAAGGCAGTACTTATGAACAGTTGTGAATAAGCTGTAAAGAACATTAAACACATTTAGAGAACACATGCAGAGCCAGAAACCTCATGTATTAGTGAGGAGTCAGTGCTTACAGTTCCTTCTGGGTCCACCAAAAGAAGGTGCTTGGCTTGTCCATTGTGCATGCCTGTCAGCACATAGGAGCCAGGATTCGTGGTGCTCTTCCTCACGAGGAAATCTCCACACTTCTTTAACAGCTGTTCTGCTTCTTTCCTGCTCATCTCTCCTTGATACCACGGCTCTGCACTCAGCTCTTCAGCTTCAGTCCGGGCAGCTGCCCTGGATGAAACAGGACTGGTGCATCCCGTGGAGGTGGATTTCTTCAGCACGGCCTCAGAGGTTTGATTCCTGAGGGCATCTTCAAATGGTCCTGGTTATGGAGGTAGAAGCAAGAGCAAGATCATTCAGAGGTAAACCATGTAACAAAATGGGTGATATTCCAGCCGTTTTAAAATGGGTTTGTTCTGCGTTGTAGCCGCACCCCTCTACCTTTATGAAAAAAATAAGGTAAGATATACTATGAGACTTACTGCTTTACGGATTCTATTAAGACTGAGGAGTGTAACGTGTTTAAATGTATGTTATGCACAGAAAGATACCAAAAAAAATGACAGTGAACCTCTGCAGGAGCTTTTGAAAGGTACTGTTTTTATTTCAGCAGTGGCTATTGTCAACAGCTGTGTTTATATGATCTGGTACCAGGCAAAGCTCTCCTTTAGTCTTGCTAGGTATATCAGACAGTTTAATTTCAAATAAATTGCATAATATGGGCAGCTAATGTCATTATACTCATATCTGGTCTCTCTTCAAACAATTTATTCATTTAAAAATTATCCATTACTGAGTCTCCAGCCCAAGGCTATGTCTAGAAGGGAACAGCCACCCCTACCACTCAGCCCATTCCTAGCCTCCGTCTAGGAAGAGAATCCTGCAAAATAGACAAAGGTTAACACATTTAACGCCATTTACCTGGCTAAAATCAGCCTCGGGGAAACATCTTTTAAACCCCAGCTAAATCCCAAACTCAGTGCTCCTTCCTGCAGAGTCGAATGGAGAGATGAGCCATTACGGACCCCAGCAGCCTTACAGGAATAGCAAACACGTCTGTGGGTGTTTCATTACGTGCTGTACTGACCCACTGGAAGCTATTTTCCCTCGCACGGCCTTCGCCTGTTCCACTGGCGCGCACCAAAAAGCAGAGTGTTGTTCTGTGCCCACTCGACCTGCAGGACATCTGCAGGGCAGCGCCGTGGGGCAACACTCCAGCTCTGAATAGACTGCTCAGATGCGAGGAGTGCACAGTCATGGGACCACAGAGAGGGTAATTTAGCTCGGGGAAATGAAGTAAATACCATTCTGTCACAGCTTATTGATGTCTCAATTATCAGAAGTAGCTTATATATGTCTTCACTAAATTGCAATCTGCACTGAGCCCAATTCATGTTTAGCCTGACAAACACTAACTTAAGCTGGAACATTTTCTAATACTACTTTTCTCTGATGATCCAAGGACTGATAAAGATTAATGAAGGCTGGAGGACAATAAATCAATTTTCCCTGTTTTTAGGAAAATAATGAGTATAAAATAGAAGTAAGCATGTGCATGTTTTAAGGGCATGGCATGTTAGAAATCAAAATTAACACTTCTGACTTCAGACAACACACTTTTCTCATTTCAGATCTATATTCACAGATAGATACTCTCTCAGCTTTCTTCTCTCCCCCTTTCTTTCAATCCAAAATCCCACTAAGCTGTGGAAATAGAGTCATACCTCAACAAAAACATGCCAGGAAGACAGTTTTATGTATACTGAGATAACAGAAATGTAGATACATTATTTTACAAATAACATATAGGCACCAACTGCTTTGTCTCACTGCCTTTTAATCACACAAACTGATTTAAATAAAACGTGTCAGGAATTTATTTGAGGTAGGAAGTGTAGAAAAACAAAGAAATTTTTCTGTGCATCAAATGCTTTCCCCATTATTTCCTGTTAAGTGTCTCCCCGAGGCTGAAAAAACCGTGTATTGTTAGCACCAACATCAAATTATGGCTGATGCTTAAAGCATTGTTTTGCAGCTATGGCTATAATTCTAATTTAGGAAAAGCAGACTTCAAAGTTGGAATAGATAGGATAGTAGGCCTACCCAGTGCAAGAGATAACTCAGCCTTTTAATTTCCATTCCTTGTTGCACAAAGCTTTTGTTATACAACTTGACTTCCTAGTAAAATACTCACAGGACAGGCTGGAGCTAATTCTCCACCCATCCACTCCTCCACTCTCCTTCACTTCCCTGTATGACAGGGCTCCTGATTTATTTTTCTTCTGACATAGTTGCCTGTGATGTTCAGGATAACATAGACTGCAACTCACCTTAACTCATACAACACAGACCAGCTTTAAATCTTCAGCCACTCTGTTTTAACTCAGTCCAATGTGAAATCATCACGAATTCTAAAATTCACCAGAATTACACCAGGAATGCTAAACTTCAGAATTACTTTTTTTTCTTTTGTTTAATTCAGAACTCATGCATAAACATATTGGGTCATTTGTTAGAAAGGGAGTGAATAGGAAGGGAACTCACTCATGTCAAACAGATCCTTTGCTGGGCTGCTTGCTTTGGTCTCCTCTGTTGTTCCACTGAAGGTACATTCAGCATCTGCCTGAAGTGCCAGCAGAGCTTCTACATTTATATGCTGGGTGTTTACATATGTTGGCATCTCTGCTGTCGGTATTACTTCTGATTTCTTTTCTGGCATACCAGAGATATCCAGAGATCCTAGAAAATTCAAGGCTTTATTTTCCTCTTTTTTTTTTTTTTTTTCTATTTGACAAAGCAGTGTTGGTATAATGACCAATTAACACCACACCACACTACTACAAGTTTAAAATTCCCTGGAATTGGAGATATAAAGTCAATAATTGCAGGATCTAGTAGAAAAAAGATGTTGATTAATGGATTCAGGACTGTATTTCAACGAGGGTTTGGGGGCATTATTATTTAGGAGAAAGGAAACCTTTGTAAATAAGGACTCGGTTTCAAAAATTATATTCAGCTGGGGAGTCATAAGAGGAGGAGAAGGAATAAAATCCTCAACTCTGCAGATTAACAACAGACAACATATTCTGGCATTTGAAAAGGAAGTGTCTCTAGAAACACAGAAAGTCGTCACATAAAGGTGGATGAGGTGAAATTTAACACGTTTTGAAGTTATCTACTTGGAATTTATAGACAACAACAAAAAACCCCATTACACATTATTTGCTATCTGTGGAACAGAGAGCATTGCTTCACATTTGAAATGAAACTTCTCACTTTAGGCATTTCCTTAAAAAAATTCCATCTTGCATACCCTAGTAGGTCAGATTTTCAGAACAGACCATGCAGCCTGCCTTTTAATATCACGGGGTTTTAGGACACTGAAAGTTAGAAAGCTGAAGATTTGGGCAACTCTATTTATGAACTGCCCTGCAGAAGAAAATACTTCATGAAGGTGTGCATTTAATAATTTATCCAGAAGTAATTAACAAATGCATTTCACTGGTATCAACACTAAAACTCAGACAAAGGGAACCTACCAAAAAAAGTGCAGTTCATTGCCTTAAGACTTTGAGGCATCAGACTTTCACATGCTTTGCCCACCCAAGACCACCTGAAGTATTACAGCTAAAAGCAGCAAAACTCACCTTGTGTAACAGGCCCATGATGCCATTCTTCACTGACTTTGTCTCCTGAGTGATGGCTCTGATAATAAATTTGCTCTCTTCCCACTCCTGTTGCAGACTAGAATGGACACGTGCAAGGAAATTTTCAGTTGCCTTTAAAATGCTCAGATACATTATCGGTGGCTCTGACAATTTCCTTGGCTGTATTCTGTGTACTCACACTCTTCCTTTCTGATTCATCATGGTGTCAGAATATATATATATCCCTAATACATTTGTGTAAGAGTAAGATATTACCAGTGACCTTCATGCATACTTCCCTACTTCCTGCTTTTATTAAGCCCCACAATATCGAAGGATGCATCACCTCTTTCAGTACATTTTCCTTTCACATAACAAGCCCTGACACACTGTTCCTGGGAAAAGCATTCCACAGAAACATGCCTGGGACCAGAAGACAGCACCAGCACTCTTCAAACCATGAGCTGAAAGACCCACTTTGGTACCAGGGAAGGCACTTGGGCACTGAAGGGAGGATGTTGTCTACAGACACCTGGATTTGAGCAGAGTTGTGCTGGATCTGAAAACTCCTCTTAAGTGACTATGCTGATACTGCAGTCAAACTTTTGACAGGAGTGTTGGTAGAAATATCCAAGCTGACCTTAGTTCAACATGAGGTGGAAAACCTACCTAGGAGTCTGGCTGAATACTGATGGCTGTCAAGTTATTAACATAATGAACTGTTCATAATGACTGCACTAGATTAAGTGATTCTGCATTAAATCATTCCCAGTTAGTGTACAGGATATTATACTCTCTGAAGCAGACATGGTTTCCACAAATGTATTTACCCTCAGTGGATTTCTCTTCCTAGATCCTGGTTAACCTTTTAAAACCACAAGGAACTCACCTCCTCTGTCTTGTTCTGAAGCTGCCTAACATGTTGCCCCCCTAGGTCTGCAATGCCCATTCAACAGGAAATTGTCCATACACGAAGGGCTGTGAGCTATAAAGGCTCCCAACGTAAATCACATCTTAAAATACACGTCTTTTAAAAATTTTGCATCCATCAGTAGGATGGCAGAGATGCAATTGCACTGACCTGAGCTGTGTCTGCAGCAGTGGGAAGTCTTGATTTGAGCCTGGCATCAAGGAAGCCGCCAGGGGGAGGTATTTTATTTGGGATGTTGTTGTAATAGGGATGCTCTGTTGGCTCGTTTTCTTCCTCCGTCCACGGGTCCTCAAAACTCTGCGTCCTGTAAGGAAGCGAGTGCTTTGTTTTGCCCCTCGCTTGTAAAGCACTTAAGAGATATTTTCATCAGGTTAAGACTGCCTGTCAGGGGGTCACTACTGCGTGTTATTTGGGCAACTCAGCTACCATCGTAAGTCAGGAAGCAATAATGGATCATGCAGGAGACCTTCTCTGTTTAGACACACTAATCTAAACCTCCTTTGCAATGGATAAAATTCTTTATGCTGAGTAAAGGATGTTTTTACTTAGTTTTAAAGACCATTACAAATCGAATTAAGCAATTTTATCTAATCCTACAACAGCACTTGTAATATTATGAGTTGATTGACCAACTAGGCTCTAAAGCTTTATATCTAAAGATACGCTCTATCACCAGTACAAATCTGGAAGAACTTCACAAAGTCAAGAGACATGAATACAGCACGCTTCCAGATTAGGATAGTAGCATTTTATATTCACCATATACTTGTTTTACTTTGATATAAGAGATTGTGGAGGGTACCAGCTCACGGGAATTCATACTAGTATTAACAAGCATATAGCAATCCACGTCTCCAAAGAAAACAGAATGCTATATCCCAGGCTTTTAAACATACACAGACAGATTTTGTATCCTCCTGAGAACAATGCAGTCAAAGCCTCTGTATAATACATCACATTCCCCAAAACATCACCCTAATATGAGAAATAGTGAAACATCACTAGTCATTTTGGAAGCCCAGCTCTCTAACTTACTCCATCTAAACTGACACAGCTGCTATGACAGCAACAATGAGAAACACCACAAATAACATCCATTCTTGGCCATCCAACTCTGCCTACTAACAACAACAGAAAACGCATGATCGTTTCAACGTCACATGAAATCCATGTTTAGCCTATTATTTTAAAATTAATGTGCCCCCTTTGTATTCGTTAGGTAAACACTGCTATGCTAACTGAGCACAAACCTTTTTTAAAATGTTTAAGTCATGTCTGTCTCCAGCAACATCGTCCACCACACATTTCATTACGTAAAATAGAAAGCTAAAGGAGATCCTTTAGCAGTCTTCTGGAATGGCACTCACCTATCCTGGAAAGTAGGTATCTTAGAGGGGCATCGCAAATATTGCTTAAATCGAAGCTCGAACGCTTGCCCTATGGTGCTGATGACATCCTGGGCCACGCCATCACAGCATTCCAGTATATGACAAGCTAAATGAAAAAGATTTGACACATGCACATGCAAATCATTGTTCACGTTGTGGTGGGATGCACTGACCTGTGACAAAACACCTACACGTCAAGTATAGTTGCCCTATTAGAAGTGTGCACCCTTCAATAAAAACCAATTATGATACAGTGAATTTCAGGCAACGGTGTCTTTGTAAAGGTTACATAAAATTGCACTGGTGTGTAACTGCCATGGGCAAGATCACAAATCTGTTTTGCTATTTTAACAAGTCCACAAACACAAAGATCTCGTACAATTTCACGTTATTACCCGAATGCAATAGATTATGTAAGAATTCTAAGCTTTAAGCTGAAAATACAAAATATTAATAGATGGCAATAACAGTAAAAGCTTTCTTGGGTTTCCTCAGTGTTATTACCACTTCAGTTTTATATGTAATCACCCCCAAGCTCACAAGCTGTTCACTTTTTCCAAATTAGTCTGAGGGAGGAGCAGTATACTCAGAATACTTTCTAGACCACGGGCCCTGACCTTACTCCAGGAGTACAGATCTTAGTACCTTTTCCTGCTTCCCTGCATGGAGACACTCCCAGTAAACTGGTGGGTCACTGAAGAGCGCAGAGGCAGGAACCTGATTAACTCCAGCACCTCCTCATGTGCCACCTCTCCGAACCCACTACAACAGATGCAGTAGGGAGGGAGGCTGGCAGCACAAGCTCTCTTCCTATGGAAGACTGAGAAACCTTTATCAGCTCTCTGAGCACCCAAATCTGCCACGGTTTTAAATCAGCGAGTGGCTCGGAGGTCTCATGTGACAACACGAAGAGGTGAATTCATGGAGAACTGACTCAGCATTGCAGGAACATAGATGGGTGTTAAGAGCTGGAGGCTGAAGATCTGAATGAACAGCACTCATCATGATATGTGGAAAAGCCCAGGCAAATTAATTTTCCATATTCAGAGTTGGATGAGCACATGGTCTACTTGCTGGTAGCCTGGACTGGGTTTGAAACTCTGGTTATTTTCCAAGTCCTACCCATTAGAGCGGGTCCTTGTTCAAAGTTACTAATTTGTATCACCCCAGACTGCTTTAAAACCTGAATATAAACTCTTCAGCTGAAAAACTGCATTTTAGTACATGCCTAGTGTCCAGCTCAGTGGAACCAAGTGCTTTGGATGCCAATGTCCTACAAACAAGGGTTGGTCACAACATTTGTGTGACATAGTTTTAATTAACGTTACACAGCGAGACTAAGTAGGTTTAGAAATGACTTCTCAGAGGCTGATCCACTTGACAGACATCTGAAGAGGCAAAAATAAAGGGCCAAGAAAGCTGCAGCTGTGCAGGTATGGAGGTATGCAGGAATGCCTGCTGCCTCTTCTTCAGCAGCACCTCCCACAGCATGAGATGGCACCAGTCACAGTGCTACGCAGATACAGAGGTGTTCTCTTCTCACCTTATAGCACCTGCTGTGCCGACCAGCAAGCTGAGGCAAATCCTGATTCAGGGGAAAGGCCACTAGCTGCATGTTGAAAGTGGATTCAGCAGCCAAAAACAGGACCTCCATGTGTCCAAAGGTGGAGGCAGACATCCCCAACCAGCAGCAGGATATTTGCTGTTTGCACCCTCTGCACCACTTCTGGTGGCATCTCCATGAACGTGGACCAAAAGCAGTTAGGGCAAACAAAGCTAAGATGTTTGCACTCTCTAACTAGAGTGCAGATTTAAAGAGGCTACATTGCTCACTGCTAAACCTGTGCGGAGCTGAAATGAAGCATGAGTCATTAAGTAGTTTCAGTAGGTGACATAATGAGTAACCTGTTTCCTTGGATACGTGAATGGACTTTCAGCAGGTAGGAGATATGCTTCTTGTAAAAGGCTGAGAAGGTTTGGCTCACACAGAGATGATTTTTTGTGAATGTTACAGCAGAAAATAGACAGCCTTCAGCTTGCTGGATCCAGAATACAAAACGCGAAGACAGCTTTTCCATCCTTGGGAAGAAATGAGTCTAATATGGAAGCTGTGCTACAGCATTGGTGGCAGTGTCAGTAACAGCAGCAGTAACATTTTCACTAGATGTAGAAACAAAGACATATTCCATTCCAAATCGATTTGCAGATAACACAAAGAATGACACAATGGCAAGTGATGGTGACAGAGGGCAGTTCAGATCCCTTGTTAAATTAGATCCTTTTTAAAAATCTGTTTTAATGCAGGCCACATAAAAAGTCACCAATCTGCAAATCACTGACGTAGATACAGGAGTGGGGAAAGTGTCCATAGGAAATGCAGAGGGCTTAAAGATCACAGCATGAAAGAGTTTCACAGGAGGTAACAGTGCTTCACTGCAGCCAAAAGGGCTAATGATGAGGACAAAAGCAAGGTGCAGCCTCCACCGTACCGGCAGCCCCTGCTATAAAGGTATCATATAACTTTTTAAAACAATGCAGAAAGATCAAAGAAGGAGAAATCAGCAGAAGGATGGAGGATGTGCACTGCAGCTGGAGACCTACAGAGTTCACTGTCAACCTTTTCATAAAGAAAACTGAGAAATTACTTGACCTAAACACACCAAAGGAAGACGACAGAACGAGGTGTTCAGATGACTCCTCAATCTAGGATAGACCAGCTGAACAAGGAACAGTCACAGGAAGTCAAGGCTAAACACATCCAACATAAGATAGAAGGAACACATCATGTGAAACAGTTCTTTTCTAAAATCTACTCACACAGGAACAGAAAACAGAGGACAGGGCTCCTGCAAACCCTACCGTGCAAACATCTACAATGCCAGCCCACTACATCGTCACTGAGATCCCTCAGAACAACTGAATCAGCCTCTGATTTAGCAGAAGGGTACTGCTAAAGCAGGTGGGGTGGAGAGCAGCTCTGCACCACACATCCTACAGTCTGACACTGGAGCCTCTCTGAGGGGGGACACATGATGTTGTAACATATCATCCATTGCAAAGAACTGGACTAACTCCATACCTCCCATTCCCCGTAAGTTTTCTAGGTGTTTCACCAGTTATTTTCACACAATATTAGTGTGTTTAGTGCAAGTATTAATTATTTATGAGGTAGTGCTCTCAAGTCTGGACATCTCTGCACATGGACACAGCAGATTCTTCAGGTATCTAAAATCATTAAAGATGATAAAATGTGGAACCTACTAAATTAGTTGTGTCGATGGTAAGGTGGGCAGCTCAGGGTTTGCAGAGTTGGCTTTTTGGAGTTTTTTTGAGCTACTCTGTTCTTCTCTATGACTCTATAAGTAATAAATAGATTCTCAGGTATATTACACAATACTTTGTATCTTGCATTAAGACCTAGTGATGCTTTCTGCACTACAAGCAGGAATGTCTTTTGTACCTTATTTCAGACTGTAATTTACAATTCTTATAGTTTATTTTTTGAGAATGTGAACTGTATCTTAGATTTTAAAGACAGCCAACAAGAAGGTCCCTGTCCCTGACTGACTGCTGCTAAAGCAATGCAATCTTGAATAAAACCTCACTAAGAAAGAGAATTACAGTAAGCTGGCTGAAAGCTCACTATTTGGTAAAGAACGTGATTCTGCCAGGAAGAATTAGGCATGTACTGAGAAGACCTAACAGATTCAGCTGCCTCATCAGATGACTTAATCAGAGGACTGCTTAGTTCTTGCATGGTGATTGGGTGTAGGTAAGATTTAGCTGTTGCCTAGAAGCTCATGCAGCCAAGTAAAGCAAGTGTTTGATTTAAGAGATGAAGAGAATCAAAGCGATATTTGGATATGAACCAGAGGCAAGACCTGTTCCAAGTCTGAGAACCAAACTGTTGCTTCTTATTGCTACACAATCTTTTTGTGACTCTGCCAAAGGCAATCTTTTTATCGGGCTGCATTTATATTTTCTTGGAGAAAAAAAATCTGACTTAAACCATGAATAATTTGTGTTTCTCAAAGGAAAAACAGATGTCAAACAGGTATTTCTAACTTACCTCTCCGATTAACAGGATCCTTAGCTACATATGCAATATAGTCAGTTGTATCCTGTCAAAAAATTAAGATATCTACAATGAATGCAAAAAAATATTTGCACTGATCATAGCAAAAGATCACAGTCCAGAGTATGTATATTCCTGTGGGTAGAGCCTCAAATGACATGTTTTGCTCTACAGTTGTATACTACTTAAACCCCATATAAATGTTTATGGGTTTTGGTACTGATTGCACCACTTTCTCCAGAATGTGATCTATTCCAGCAGAATTCAAAAATCTCTTCTAAGGCCTTTGAGAATCAATTAAACAAACTCAGTAGGATTTGGATCAAACCTCATTTAGGAGGGAGTAGAATTACAAGTCCTTATTTTCGAACTGCCCAGAGATTTTGGTTCAGAACATAAATAATCGACCGGTTCTGTGGCAGAAAGAGTGGGAGTAACAGCCCTGCTCCCCAGAAATACTGAGCAATGGCATTTATTCGTGTGTGAAAGCAGGTGTGTTTACTGACTACTACGCCATATGGCACAGAGGTGGTCAGCCCCTGCTTGGCTGTGACAAGTAGAATCCCAGGACGCTCTCCCCTGGCCCGTGGGCTGCTCCTTGCCACACTTGTTGCCACATGCCAGGTGTATTTTTGGGCAAGAGTAGGCAGACATTTCCCTCAAGGATTTTTTGCTTGCTCTCCTGCCACAAGCGGCGCAGACTTGTGTCGTTGTGCAGATGGAACAGAAGGGGCAGTGTTTCTGGAAACATTTAGGCCACACAGCCTTGATGCAGTCATGAAGTCCTGGTTAGATCTGGTGTTTCCTGACATGCCTGGCTAGTCAGGTGTAGCTAAACCTGAGGGATACACAGGATACACTACAGCTGGCAGTATAACTCTATCCAAAGCCTTTTCACTGATCCCAGATCACTGGCAATTATGCCAAGATCTAATGCCATAACAAACATGAACCTTCAGTTAAAAGACAGACTTCTTCAGCTTAGCTTTCTCTAGTGCAAGCACACACCACAACCACCCACCCAAAACAAATCACTGTGCTGCATGTCTATACAATTTCCATCCTAAGGAGAGAGCAAGGGAAATGATGAAGCAAATTCATGGTTCTAGTAACAGATGTGTAACCATATCACTTAATAGACTATTGGAAGACACTCAGGCACAGCAGCAATGAGGTTGTCCTATAAAAAAAAGCAGAGTAGAATGGCCTTAATATTTTGTCCAGTAATTTCTGATGAATCCTGTGACGCAGTGCCTGGGCAACGACTAAAATGGAAATAAGGGTGCATATCAACAAGTAAGGGGACAAGAAAAGTGACTATGTCTATAGTAACAGATAAAACAGAGCCAAGATAAAGGCCTGAGAGTTGTTTCACTGTTGTCCATACTGTTTTATTGCTGCTACTCTCCCATGCCCCTCTGTGCTGGTTTCTCACGCCATGCTCTGAAACTCTCTGAGGGACCAGCATGTGCTGGGCATCGATCCCAAGAGGCCACTACGAGGGAAGAGGGTGAATGTTTGGATGCAAATTTCACTGTGCTATTTAGTTGCAGGGCCAGAAGGGCCAGAAAATGGGCCACAGATCAATTTATTTACTGGTTCAGGCACAGCTAATGGATACATTAATGGCTGAGTAAATCATAGATCTATCTCACAGCTAGTGTGGACGTGACAGTCTGGAACTACCAACTCGTTATTACCTCTAAAGTTCAGATTGAAGTTGACTATGACAAATCATTAAGGACTTAATGTGGGCACATTCCACAGTGGGTAATTTAGAAGATTCCCATCCAAAAACTACACAAAGATGGGCTGAAGCAGTAAAGTGGTCCTTGACATTTAAGGACTGAAAACAAGTATGAATGAGCCGTAATTACCACCCCTAAGAAATTGCATCGTGGTGGTAAAATTTGGAGGTGTGGCTGAAACTGAAAAACTACTGCCTTCAGGGACCTCTGAGAGACCTGCCTTATTAGACCTTATGAAAACCTCCACTCTGGCATTTCAGCAGATATCTCCAAAAACAGATGTCTTGTCTAGCAGCCTGGAAACAACCGCCTGAAATTACTATGGATGAAAATTGTTTGGTGTATCATAAGGAGGGGCTGAAGAGAGCTAAAGCAGATCCAGAACACAGTCTTGGAAGTGAACTAAAAATTGTTCTGAAATGGTGTGTAAGGGATTTGGTGGGGATGTTTTTAAGCTGCCATGTACTGATATAGCCAGAAACTGACTCATTGCAAATGGGAATATTGCAAATATATATATATGGTATTCAAGCTGTTCTCCAAGACTGTGGAACACTTCTCCTGTGGTTACATTTTGAATAATACAAGATAATTAACAGTAAGGGAGTGGGTGGAAAGTGGTGAAGATAATTTCTGTCATGAATGTGAGGCAGATATCCAGAGTATAAAGGTAGATGGGGTAGAGAAGTGAGGGTAGTCTCACTTCCTAATAAACCAAACTCCAAAATTCAAACTAAGGGAAGTACTTCATGAAAAAACATGGGCTCAGATCTAGGTTCCTAGTTCACTATGACCTTTCTCTATCCAGTTTAAATTTCATATAAGGAGATGAGCTTATGGGCTGGAGCCCAACTGTGGTTGGGAGACACAGTTTGGTGGCAGCAGTCCTCCATCAAGTGGAAATCACTAAGGGCTGATGAAAGTTGTGTCTAGATGGCCCTCTCACGAGTAAATAAAGCTGTGACTTAAACCACATCCTTGCACCTTGTCTTCTTCTACACACATCCAGGACAAGGGAACCACCTGCTTTATGAACAAGCTTATGGTTTAAGGTGCCAGATACTAGACCACTGAGATAAACTTGTAGGTCATCATTAGATACTCATAGCTACCCTCTTCCCATCAATGTCAGAATGAATTCATGCAGTAGTAGTCTTACCAGGAAAACAACTTTACAATTTCACCACATCTTGTAGGCTCCCTTCCACCATGCAATTTTATTTCTCTGGTAGCTCGCTGACTCAGTAGCGTGATTTTTATCTCTCTAAAACATTTGGAAGAGCTTGTTTACTCCAAATCCAATCTCTTCTACTGCTGCTCCTCTCCTCTTTCCTGGTAAATCACTCTAGCAGTGGGCAGAGTGAAATGGTGTTTCCAGGACTTAGCATTTGGGATGGCAGATGGGCAGCGAAGAATCTTCTTACGGAGGCAGGGAACTGTGCTAATCACTCCTCTGCCCACTTCAGGAATTGTTCATTTACAGCATACATTGCAATCTGTTGTATTTCAAAGCTGTTGTTGATCCATATTTTGTTCCCCAAATCATTATGATATGGTGTCCTTTTCCCTTCTGTAACTGCACTGAACTCTGCAAAGCTATACTAAGACTGAAGATTGCCTTTACATTTCCTGAGGGTAGCTAAATGAACAGAGGAAGTGCCAAGGATCTTTACCTTAACAGGGTTGAACGGCGAGAATTAACTCACAAAGCAGGCTAGAAATTGCCTTACCTGTAGCACACGACTGATAAATCATGGATGATCATACGATGGAGGAAAAGGCACTCATTCAATTAATCTAGGTTTAAAAGCTTTCAAACCTCTAAGGTAAAAGGTGAGCAATGTCAATATTTTATAATTCCCCCATTGCTTCCTGAGTGACAAATACTTTTTAAGCACATTTATTAATATACCTTCAATAGACAGCTTATAAAACTAAGGAAAAGCACAACAGGCAGGAATCTGCCCTTTGCTCCAAATGAACCAAATGTGTAAAATTGAAAGCTGAATTGGAAACTGAAAGCTTTGCAAAATGAGAAAGTAAGATCTGTGCTTCCTGAAAGCCTGTCTTCAAGCCACATGAGTGTAGCAAATACACCTGAAGGCAGTATTTAGTAGTCTTCTCAATGCACACTTAAAGACAAGAAGGAAAAAAAGGTGCTTCATTACTATAACTGCAACATAGTCTACTACTGTAAAAAGTGCAAATTAAAAACAGGATAAAAATTCATACAATCCCATATGACTGTACCACATTACTCTGAGAAACAAAGAGATGCTTATCAGTTACTACACAAATGCTCTCAACCCCTTAATACTTTTTTGTTTCAGTCATTCAAAGAGGAGGATCTACGAATGCTTGTCAGTCATTCCCCTCAAAAAAGAGTTTGATGGCAACAATCAAGATGAATTTATGAAACAAGAAACAGGAGCTACTGTGGCCGTATTATTTTTTTTCTTTCAGTAGGATATGCGATAAATTCTGTCCCACAGTCCTCACAAGGCAGTATCCACGTGGGGGGAAGGCTTCAAAGGAATGCTTACCGGGTCGCCTCCAGACGCAAAGGAAATAGATTGCATGTGGTGATTTGCTATGATCTGTATGGATCAGAAAGAACAAGTGTAAGTCAGATAGTTTTCTTACAGTTTACACTTTTTTGATTTCTTTTCTGGCTTGCATACAGGTGAAAATCCAAAATCAGGATCAAAATTATCCACAAGGAGTAAAAAGAGTAGCACAATAATATAAACAAACGGGAGGATCAATGAATCTATCCTGGTGTTCTTTAAAACGTACCAGGACACTGCAAAATTGCTAAATGTGCTCAGAACTCCAGTAAATCATACAGATCTGTCAGACAGTATCTTTGGAGAAATTTTAATCAGCAAAAACTCCCTTTCTTTATTGCAGATAACGATGAATGAAGCAAAAGGTCCTATTCATCAAAACATTTTTCTGCTGATGCCACTCTGGTGAAATCCATGAAACCATGCCAATCCGTACACCAGCTAGGGTTCCTAACATCGTTTCCAACACCCACTGTGTCATTTTATGTTTCAAACATCAACATGTTTGCAATATGCAAACAAAAATTTGACTCTAGCTGCACTGTAGCATTGTGGACAAAATCACAGGCATAATCCAGGGCATTTGAAATTCAAATTGCTTATGTACGAATTGAACTAATACAATATTTCTCTGGGAAGAGACAAATTGTCCTGAACATACAATACTAGCAGAACAGCTCTGCTATTCTGAGATTTAACTTATGAAATCTTTTAATAATGAAATCATGTAATAATCAAGAAAGAAAAGGTCATTTGAAAGAAACTTTCACTTGATATCTGAGTCACATAAGCCATGCCAATGAATTCATCTAGGAAAGGACAGGCCTCTATTTAGTGCCTCAAAGCACGTGACAATAGAATTAGTATCTCAGTTTGGAGAGGGAACCACATAGTTTAGAAAACTGTTTTGGAAAAAAAAATAGGCTGAAATATATTCTCTGGGATGTTTTCCCTATCCTGCATCTAAAAGACTTGAACTAGCAACTACCTTCCTTGGAAAGAAAAAAGCCTGGCACGACTTTGTCTGGATCTTGCTGCTTCATTAAGTCAGAGAGAGTTGATAACTATTTGCAGTGTTTCTTTCATGTAAAGAGCACTTCATTTTCAATAGCCTTGCTTGTCTAAGAGCAGCCTCTGAAGATGTGGTTAGTTTTTAAGTGTTCACTGGTGAATTAGTGTTCCATTACTCATCAGTGAGGATATCCTTCACTTTTTCCCATAAAGAAGAAGTAATCTTAACAATAGAAATGAACTAGTGAAGATCTGTTACACATTTAATATTGTCACTACCCTGACTTGTACAAATAACCCAATCTTTTACTCCAGCATCATATAAAACAAAAATTATTTTAGATTGTCTCTAAGCTAATTTTTCCAAGTTTTAAGAAAACTGAAAAGTGCTTGAAGCCATTAGTTCAAGTCAGGGTTTTTTTTTTAAAGAAATATACTAAACAAACCATCTTCCACCCAGCCCTGCCTAACATATTCACTGAATTGTTGCTGCAGCACATGCAATTGCTTTCCTCCTACCCTCAGGGCCAACAACGCTGTCTTGTCTTTTTTTTTCTTTCTTTCCAGCTCCCCTGGGAAAAAGAGACTATTACAGAAGTTCACAGCCTTCTTCCTGTGTGGGGCCTCAAAGGGCAAAGCTGCTGGGCCATTCTTATTTGCAAATCAAATGCTTGGCACAAACAAGAAACAGGGGAGACCACAGCCACACTAGGGATCTCTGAGAAACCAGACGTTTCCCAGGCCAGCAGCACCCAGAAAAGTCTATCTCAAAAAGAATTATGTGAGAGAAAGATGAAGAGTTTTGTCAACTCAGAGAAAAGGCAAAACATCTGGGGGATGACTCTGCTCTGCAATAAATCAGTTTAACTACAATTCTGCCCTGGCACTGGCTGAAGACAAGGCGACTTTCAGGGCTTGGCACTTTCTTACTAATTAACATCAAGTTCCTGTGTTTCTGACTGGGGGCAGCTGTCCCTGTGAGAGGTACTGCTGTGTATATTCCAGAGTAAGGCTACAAACTGCTGCATCCAGCCATAGCACTGCTCCCAGTGTCTCAGTGCTCACTGCAGGAGATTTGGATGTTTTCTAAGCAAGGATGATGATAAATTAATGAAAACATGATGATAGTAATAATCAGCAAGTTTTTTTAACAGACAGTGTGCATGTTCTTTCTCATTCTTTAATCCTGATGCCCTGAAGGATGGTAGGAACTTCATTGTTTTCCTCTCTGGCTGTATCTGGGCAGAAAGTCATTGTGCCCTAACAGAATATGTGGCTCACAGCAAATAGCACAGCAGTGACTACGCATGTCCATCTGCTTTCTCTTTGTATACCCTGAGCAAGGATTTTTCTCATCTCATACATCATTCACAAACCACTGCAGTGATTCCCCAAAGTGCGTCTGTACCTTCAGCACAGTGAAGAAGAAGGAATAAGCTACTTGGAAAAAAGGCTGCCTTGTCTCTCTGAAAGACTGGCCTTTCACTGCACTGCAAAATGCCCGAGGCTGTATTTTTAGCAGTGCCTCAGGAACGGTTTGCCCTTTCAGACTCTAAATGGAAAGAAAACAGTGAAATTAGGGATGTACATTCAGTCCTTTAGTTGGTTGCTCCAAGCACATCCCTTTTACCACCCTGAAAGTTTGTAATTGTACCCAGTAAGAACTACCATGACCAGAAAATGACATTTCATGTCATAGGTCTTATAAGAGCAGAACCAATCTACCAGAAACAGGGCAAGAAGGAAGTAATTCATGAAAGCTGTGTTGAATACTGGAATAAGCTGACTTCTAGTATGATTCATATTTCGTTTTTATTCATTTTATAGACATTATTGAGGAATAATAACTTTGAGCAACTGAGTATCTGACAGACAGCAGCAAACTGTTCATCAAAAGCCTTACAAATTAGTACAGAAGTTGCACTCACCTGTTTCGTATCAGGATTCATTAGATTTAAGCTGGTGGTGGAGATATTCAACATTATGCTCGTTCCTGCAAACTGAAGATTGCTCTTTCCCAAGATGCTAGAAAGGACTTTGCTTGGTGGCTGTGAGGAGGGGGGGAAAAAAAGCAGATTTTTGTTCTCTGTTTATTTGGGATGACCTTCATTGTATGCAGGGTTAGCGGTGATCTGAAAGGCTTCTAAAAGGTTTATGACTTTCAAAGAACATTTACTCACAACAGCTGCTTCCCTCTGGAAATGATTTCTCATTAATACTACTACTGCTCCTACTAATGATAGTGGCTAGGCAGGCAGTCATCTACTCTTGACCTAACAAAACAAGAATATATGATGTAAAAGAAGACCTGATAGAAAATAGGGGGTTTGTAAGACAGCAAAGTCTCACCTTCACTAAGGAGCCAAGTAAGCAGACTAAGATAAATGCCTTCAGTCAGTATCTTAAAATGATAATGTTCTTATTCTGTAAAAACAGCTTCAACTATTGAAAAGAAATCTGTTCTCTGCATCCACTGACTTCTCTACCTACTCTCCACATGGAAAGTGGGACTCCAGGGATATCGATGGGATGCTTACAAAATGGGATCCAGAGTGTTTAAGACCTTTAAAGATCTCCTCCAACCCAAACCATTCTAAGATTTTGCTTGTGGACTTCTTAGCAGTAGGCAAAAGCTCAGACATAGGCTAAACAAAATCTCGGTATGCTGCGGTACCACATGCAGGTAAAGATTACTCCTAACTCAGAGAATAAGTACAAAGTGTTGGAATGTAATAAAGGGGATGTAACAATACTGATAACTTTTGCAGGCATTTCACTAGCCCTCAGGAGGTTTTGTAGCAAGTCAATAAGTTATGTTGACAAAGCAAAATTCAAAAACTTCTCATCTTTGACAGCTTTGGGGAACCACAAATCTGTGTGAGAGCAGCCTCATTCAGGAAAACCACAGCCTGTACAAAATCAGGGTGCCCAGCAGTAACAGACCAAGTCCTTCTACTTGCTGAATTTCCACTTGTGAATATTTATGCTGGTTATTAAGATATAAAAGCAAAGCTGGGCCTGGAGGCAGTGTTCTTCTGCCACTGTATTTGCATTTGTCCTAAGCTGCCTGCAAGCTTGGAAAGTTCTGTTCATAGCAGGATGGACTCACCTGTGCTTCTGTTGACCTTAAAAGTTTAAATACATTTAGTTTTAGCTTCTTTTCCTTCTGTTTAACTGACTAAAAATACACTACCTGCGTATTGCTCCCACGTGATGTTTGTGCTGCACTATTTTAGCATTGTCACATTGCAGAGCTAGTACTTCATTAACTTCTCAATAAAACAATCTCCTTTGAACATTCTTGTATGTCTCTTCTTTCCTTAATCCTTCACGATTCCCAGGTCATGCCTAAAGACCACGTGCCCACAGTGCAGTTAAAATGTGAAAACATGCCCTCAGGAACTACATGTCACCTTAACCAATTTGATAAGCCACCAGTGGCAAAAACATGATGAACATACAGACCAGCAAAAGAGACCTGTATTTGATGTTTAGCTAAGTTCTGTTGCTATTCCTTTCCAATAACTGGTAAGCAGCATTGCCTCTAAAACCCATAACAGAGCAAGCTGTCTCACTAGGCAGGTGGAACTCCGTTTAACTCACTTTTCCAATTATACTTTGTGTCATTTTGCTTTCCAAGGAAAAAAAAAAAAAGATACTTTTGTCTTTACTTTCAGTATTAAAACAAAAAGCCAGAGAACCAAGAGATGCCAGTGTGATAAATGTGGTGGTGGGGAAACCACAACCCTAATTTCTGAGGCAATCTGCAATTGCACCATGACATGTGTTGTCACATATGCCTGATTTTACCAGAGGAAGACCCTCCACTGCAAACAAGTGGCATTTCATCCCATCCCTTTCTACTGAGACACTGCCTAGATGGTGCAGCAGGTGGGGAAGTGGACAGACCTTTTTGTTCACCCCCCCACTCTCCTCCTATGCCCAAGATCTCACACATGGGCTATAATTAACTGCTTTCTATGCTTCTTCCCTCAGAGTCAGCAATATATCCCAGCTTTGCTAGCAGGCCTCTGGAAGAGCAGGCAGAGCAAGGCTGTTGAGAGCCACCAGTGCATGAGCTGAGCCAAGGTTTCCTCCGCTCCCTGTCTGAAGATTCTAACTCCTACCACACAAATAAAAATAAAAGCATGACAATAACTGTGTCAGGGACACACTGGGCTCACCATAAGTGCTGGCCACTGAGCATCAGCCACATGGAAAGAGCATAGGGAGAAAAGGATCACCTGATATGTTCTCTCCATCCCCGGGAATCAGTGATTAAATGATTAAATGATTAAACTCATTAAATGTCACCAGTAGAGCTATGCTCAAAGAACTGACCTAACCACTTTCAGAACTGTGTATGGTTTTGGCTTCTGCTCTACCTTCCAGCACCTTTTTCCATGATTTACTCATGCATTTTGTTAAAAGCCATCCCTTTTTTTTGTTTTAACTCTCCCACATGTGACCTACCAAAAAAAAAAATAAAAAAAGTAAAAGGAGGGGGTTTCTACAGAAGCCATATAAAGGCACAGTCTTCGTCCTAGGTGTATTCATGCTTCCAGATGCCTAAAAAAGCAGATCTCGACGAAAAGGGCAAGCGACAACACACCGTGGGTGAAAACAGCCAACACTTTACGTGATTAATGATCTGCAATTCTCAAAGCTGCTTTAAAGTCACCTGCCTGCTGTGCCCGGTCTCCTCTGTGCTGAACTAAGAAAATAGAGTCAACTGCACTACAAGAAAAGAAAAATACCTTTCGTTTCTTGAAGGCTCCTTTGGCACCAGGCACGGCTTCACAAACACGACTGATTGCTTCCCTGAAGAGACAGAAAATAGCTTTATGGCAAATTAATGTGTGGATTTCTTCATTACGCTTCAAATGCACTGGAGAGAACAGCTTCAGACCATATTTCTGCTTACAAGTGAGGATAGTTAGCAGGTCAGTTAGCTTTCTCCTCAAAAAGAAAATGTTTTCTTGTACTATTAAAAAGAGATTTTTCTCACTGTAAATAGAAATATTAGCCTTAATGCCTTCTTCCAAGTCTCATTTTTGTACATTGCTTAACACCTTTTTTTAAAAAAAAAAAATGTTTCTTGTAATGTAAGAGTTAGAAAGGATCATTTTTGTCACTACTATACTATGCATTTTACCAGTCAGAGCAAAACCACCAGGCTTTAGATAGCATTAGAACCCTAAAACATTCCTGGTAATATGCATGTTGTATATAATACGTGTGATGTACAAAATTTTAACTGATATCTGTTCAGTACAATCTGAATAATTTATTAGTGGCCTTATTTTTACACTGTGAGCAAGATTAATGCCACCAACATTTTGCTTCAGTTTTGTAATATTGCTTCATTCACCCCATTGCACTTGGGTTGACTGAAAGAAATGCATGTTCAAAAATGATTTGAAGCTACACCCTCTCACAGAAGAGTAACTGTGTACCACAAAAAGCTCTTGAAATCATACTGCTACAAACAAATCTTGTAGTTCCTTTCATGATTTACCAGCTTATTTTCTGAATAGTCAGTCTGGTCAAGGTTTAGAATTTGCTCCTGTGCATGTAGAGACTTTCCTCTGACCACGACAAACAAAGCTATAATAGGTCTGTCCCACTGATACTGCAGAAGAATTCCTCATTTCACAGGAACGAGCAAAGGTGACTCCAAACCTTGTTAAACAACTATTTTTAATATGTATTGAGACTAACAGGACATTATATTTAGAGCCCAGACCATGCAAATAACAATACCTTATGCAACAAGCATAATAGAAAACAACAGAATGGGAGACAATGAACTACAAGCTAAAGAACAGTCAAAATAACCAAAACCTTGAAACATCACCCGGATAAAAACATAAAATATGTTAACTTTGTGCCATATACAGTGTGTTTCAACTATGCATTGGGTGATGGCACAGGATCAACAAATGAATCAGGAGAGAAATTCATATACTTATCAGTATTCAACGTATAATGGCTCAGGAAATGTCACAGATTATATCTGGTTGCAATCAGTAAGTGCTATATAGTTATGCCTTGGGTGCTTTTACCTAGGGCCCAATCCAAAGTTTGAATCACCTGAAAGAATCACATGAATTTATTACGTTTTGGGAGGTGGGTGGTTGTGAGAGTGAACAGGGCCTGAAGCAGGTCTACAGTCCTGCCATTCTGAAAAAGCGTGAGATTTATAGCAAGAATGGTTAAAAAAGCTTTCAGGCATACAATCCTTTCTTCAGGTCTAGAAGAGAGCTTGCTTGTTCCACAGCTTGTTTTTTGGGGATGTTTTTCCCCCCTACCTACATCTGCTTGTCTAATAAAATTGCCTCTCACTACAAACCTCGCCTTGCATATGCACTCAGACCACTATAGCTACAACAGCATTCCATTTCACAGTTCAGTGCTTGTAGTTAGTTCCTACATTCACCACAATGTTTTTTTGATCCCAAGCAAGTGTTTTAGTTAAAGTAGTTACTAACTTTTCTTACAGAGAAAATAAAAATCAGTTGCTTTAAAGGAGCAGCCCTGATGCATCTTAGATATAAAAGCACAGCAAGCATCATGCATACTGATCACCATGCTACTGAGACATAGGTTACTCCTGGAAATGTGATCAGGAGAAATGAATACTACTCTTCTCAAATGAAGAATTCACTAAAAGTGTTTTTCTTTGGCTCAGGACAAACAATCAGACACCATGTTTTAGAGAGTCATCCCCTTTGGCTACTGAGCTACTTGTGGTTTCCTTACTCTTTCTTCCACAGAACCAAATCCTTTGGAGGCAATGGGGTGAGCAGTCCCAGCCAGTGACAGCCTCCAGCCCACTGCTGTCTTTAAGACTCATGCCTCTTGCTTCACCAGGTGTGTCTTAGCTTCCCTGGTGTTTTGGCTCTAAGTTGCTCTCACAGAGACATCACCAACACTTCATCGTCTTTGTCTTCTCCAGTGGTCCAGCTGGTGCATTGAGACACCTGACAGGTTTTGCCTCTCACAGAACAGGTTTGTATTTCAGAGATATGAACTGTGCTTGAGGGATAAATTCGGATCTAATTTCCTTTCTTTTCCTATTTGCCTCCACCATCTTCTCTCTCTAGTGGCAACGTGGAATAAAAGAGAGTTTTTCAAGCCACTGCATCTGACAAAAATTGTATACAATCTTGTTATTTTTCTAGTACAGGGTTGGGATTTGTAGTGGTTTTACTACTACCTCTACTGTCTGCCAGCTCCTTGTAATCAGACATGAAGTGTGTTACTCAATAGATTCATCTGACTCAAAGACCTTGTCGACCAAAACTGCCACTTAGGTGTAGGAGTGGAATCGCTGAAAAGGCTTGAGCTTGGGGCAGAAATATGGCAAAGCAGCCTTAGCTACTCCTTGTACACTCTGCCTTTCCTTGCCATGGAAAGGCTGGGCTACATGTCCTCTCACTCAGGAACAAAGTTCTATACATTTTCCAGCTACCTGTCTTCATTTTAGTAAAATAGCTCAGTTTTACTGAACTCAATGTTCTCAAAGGCTGTGGCCATGCTGTGGCTCTTCAGAGTTTCTGAAACTCTGTGAATACTGAATGTATTTGAGCAATTGCAGAGTTTAATTTAAGAATGCTTTTAGTGAGAATGCTGGGAACTTCAGAAAATACATTCACAGAACAATTCTGCATAAGCAAGGTCAGAGTGCCCTGGCATCAACCCTTTGCATACCTGCAACAGAGGGCACAGTACTTTTCCTGTGTGGGAGTTTAGAAGTCTAAAAGAGGTATTTGAACAAAACAAGACAAAATAGAACAGCTGAATATCTGCCACTGCACTGATAGGCACTTTTCTCCAAGGACGACCAAGATGGTTAGAGGGAGCACCTGCCCTATGAGGAAAGCTTGAGAGAATTGGCATTTTCAGATAGGAAGAGAGAAGGCTTTCGGGTGACCTGAATGCATCCTTCCAGTATCTGAAAGGAGCCTGCAAGAAAGATAAAGGGAAACTTTTTACAGACTTTTTACATGTAGTGATAGGACAAGGGGAAATAGCTTCAAACTGGAAGGGAGCAGGTTTAGATTAGATGTTAGAAAGAAATTCTATGTTGTAAGGATGGTGATGCACTGGCACAGGTTGCCCTGAGAAGCTGTGGATGTCCCATCCCTGGAAGAGTTCAAGACCAGGTTGGACGGGGCTCTGAGCAACCCAGTCCGGTGAAAGTCATGAAATGGGGGTTAGAACTAGACAATCTGTAAGGTCCCTTCTAACCCCAAAAATTCAATGATTCTATGACAGTTCCCAGATCACTCCATTCAGCACATTCTAGGAGGATGGGGGCAGGGGTGCCTTTACACAAATAGCCTGGTGATGTGGAAAAGACAGCCTAAAGATTTCTTCCAACTTGCATGGTCAGGCAGTACAGGGCTTCTTTTTTTTCAGCAAATCAAATTTGCAAATGCCTCAGCAGCACAAAAACCTCAGCCACAAATTTGGCCCAGAAACAGATATTGCTGCTACATTGAGAGTGCCATCACTTGACCTGTGTGTGTGGAAATGCTTGCCCAAGGAAGGCAGAAGTCCTGAACATATCTGCACGGCTAAACGTTGCACGGAGTTTGGAAAAGTTGGGTGCAACCACATTTGCTTCCTTTCCAATTAGAAAGTTATTTGACACAGATACACATCACACCTTTCTAAGCCACATCCTGTTTCATTAGTTAGGCTCAGATAAAAACCAGTGTAAAGCCAGGCTGATCTCTTGTAAAATTAGTTACTGCGCTGTCTGCAGCAGGGACCACACGCTGAGTTCCAAATCTGCCCAGAAGTATTTTCTGCTTTGCAGATGGTCATACCATGGAGTCATTTTCTTGGCACGAAACATTTTGTGTATTTTGAATATAATTTCAGCACGCAAGATCATCCAGTAAAAAAATTACCAATATGCATTTTCTGAAACTCACCTATTCTGCTTTAAAGTGACTTGACATCTGAGACAGAAAAAAGGACATTTTACATTGCCATTTTGCTCCATTAAAAAGCCTGGTAGCTTTCATAGCTTTAGTGATATTTTACTCTGCTATACAAAGTAGCTGGCTCAGGAAGCTCAAATCTGCTCCTCTGTGGAACACCATCACATGAAAATACTCTCCATTCTTGTGGTTTCAAATATTTTTCTGATTGTGCTGTTTTAGTTGTTGCTGTTCTTAATTAATACAATTTAATTGATTAAAAACCAGAATTCTGGAACTCATATTTCAGGGAAATGACAGGCACATACAAACAGCACAGATTTTCTCAACATATTTGGAAAAAGTAAAGCCATGCCAAATAATGAGACAAGAAAATGTGACTTGTCTTTAGTCTGAAATGTTTTGTATCACAATACTTAAAACCATCTAATATTCTCTTAAGATATTTTAGTATCCTGTAGTCCCTAAGGTTACCTTTTCCACCTCCAAAGCTTAGGACTTCACAGGTTAAAAAAAACAGACATCAAGAGGTGGATTTTCTAAATGAAAGCATGACATGATCGGAAGAATTGTACAGAAGACTTACAGTTATTTCTTAACAGTACTATGTTCCTGTCAATTTTAATAACTTCTAAATCATTACCAAGTATTGTACCAGTATTTCCTGAGGAGAAACAAAGTCTGTACTAAATATAAAGATAACTTGCTTCTGAAAAAGAAAAAAAAAAACAAACCAGAGACCAAAAGCACATTTTTAGAAATCTGTTTAATAATTGAAATACTGTTTGTTCTTTTGCAAAACAGGCATAACGAGCATGTGCTGTCTGAAGTAGGACAGGGGACATCCACAAGCTCTGAACACTAACC